GTGTTGATCATCTGTTAATGCTGACGGCGGTCCCGCGCTTTCGATCCTCTTTGAATAATAATATTAATCAAAAACATGAGCATGCGACAAACARTTATTACTGAAGGCCTTAACTAACTCAGCACCAGAAATTTGATACCACACACAAAATTTAATGGAACTTCTTTGTTGAATAATTTCACTCATCGCAAAAATCGCTGAATGCAATTTAGGTAGTTCAGAAAGATAAGCGTATAGTAAACACTAATGATTATTTTGATGTGACCTTTGGCATATACATACATATGTAAGTGACAGCCATACCCACCTGGATAAAAATGTCGACTAATTACCTAAAGTCGAAGGAGGTCGTTTATCTCTTTTTCAAATATTGTATGTATAGTTTTTATGGGTCCTCAATTCGATTGGTTGACCCCAAAAACAGTTTGTTAGAGAGAACAATTTACTTTGAATARCTTCCAATGTCTTGATATCTTCCACTGTACTTTTCTCCTACTTTTAGATGACTATAATGCTTGAAAATGTCATAATATCTTATTTCTTTCTCCTATCTATTAAAATTCCAAAGCCCTTCACAGAGAAAACTGTCTTTAAGGTGTGGTAGGGAGTCGTTTGAGAGATAGACCAGCAGCAGCATGTGACTGTTACAATCGTATTTATCGCATTTTGAAAGGTTTAATATTTATGTTAAATAATTATAATATTAATTACTATCATTGTATATTAGAAATGTACAAAACTATATTTCTTTATTAAGGGTAAAAATATCCTATTTTGAAAGAAACACTCCCATTTAGAGCTTCTTTACAACAGTGTATACAGTTTTCTTTTACATAGTCATAAATTGCTTTGACATCTATTCCGTCTATTTCATTCTATTAGAACTATTTTATCTTGAAAATGAGTAAAATTTATTACTCATTACTTATTTGATAATATCCACACGCAGATATCTGTAAATACCTACATATTATATTATATATAATTCATAATATAATAAGCTCTACCCTGCAGGAACTTTTCACTTCAATACTGAGAATATTTATTGTTCTCAGTAAATGAGTTATAGCATACTATAATTTCTTATGTCTCTTATACTCCGAGTGGCCATTAGCTAATGTTGTTGCCATTAAAAAAAATCTCCCAAACATCGCCGAAAAATAGAGACATCAAGTTTATCCAGTTATATACATACATACTTATAGTAAATGCCATTAGTMTAACTAAATTCTCATATCCATTTTGTACCCAAAGCCTTCCCAGCAGAAATAATAGACATGACAAAGCGTTGATTTAAGACTCTAATCAGTCCTGAAAAACGTTTTTATTTTTCATATATCTCGTTTTTTCAGTGCTTTAGACTTTGTCAGCCACATCTTAGAAGAAAAAGTTGAGGGTCCCAAGTTTACTTCCGTGGTGTTTTCTGATTTGTCTTAACTATCATGCAATTTCCGGCTGGCTAGTGATTTATTTGTAATGAGGGTGTGAATATCCGTAAGCAAAAAAAGTGTGTCAGCTTGTAAATAAGCGCTAATAAATACTGTTATCATAATTATATCTATTGTTGTATGTGCTTTATTGAATGAAGGCTTCAATTCATGTTCAATGACTCGTTAGCATTTCTAAGTGACAACACACATTTGTCGTTAGAAGTAACACAAATCAGTTAATGAATACATTCCAATGATAAAGCAAAAGTATGGAAATACATATGTGTATTTACATATGTATATTATGTATGAAATTATATTATTGATATATTGCCGTTGTAAAGTTCAAGGGTTATCTCTGATAACTCGTAATTAAAAGTTTGCATTTTAGGGCTGAACAGGTGGAGGTGCATATTGGCATGTTCTTGGTACTAAAATTCTCTATACTATTAAATCCAACMGGCTAAATGTTGTACTATATTCAAGAGAGATTAATAACAAATGTTTCCCTTATTTTGTTGGAATTATAAGAATAGTCTTCCGCCGTAAACCTTTTTATTCTTGTTGTTGTAACGAGTACCTTATCCCCGTTCTGATGGTAAGGATTAGATAAGTTGTCGTCGACGTCATCCAACGGCAGGCTGTTACGATGTATTCGGACCAAAGGGAGATAGGTGTCAGATGTGTAGGGCTAGCGGGGCATCCAAAAGGTGCCAAGTGTCACGCCTTATTTCAAAGATTGCTGCTGGAGKTAGGCTATGCTTCCAAAAATTTTGTAAATGTACATTTTTTTACTTATTTATTAAGGAAAAGCCTCTTCAAAAAATATCGTAAAATCAACGTATTTTTTCTGATTTGCAAGTGGTGATAAACTCTTCGAAAAGAAATTTTTTAGAGATTCAAAAAAAAAGTTTTTGAATAGTGTAATTAAGATAGGTCACTACTCCAGTAATAACAACACACACGACTCGAACGGTTGTGTGCATTCAAATGTGAGCTTTGTATAATTTTAAACTTATGCAATGTGTATACACCGAATTTACTTAGCAATTCGTATTGAACGCTTTTCAAATTGTGATTACTGCACATATATGTATGTGTATCTACATATACTTGTATCCACACTTGTACACATGCCTGCAATCTGCTCACTAATATGATGACTAGCGTTGTTTATATGTAGGTGCCACCAGCTTATAATAGATACTAATAACCCACCTTATAATAATAGGAAAATAATTAACCAAGAAGATTTAATACATTTACTAACACCACAGTTAGCTCCACTGTTGTTGTATTAGCACGCCTCTGCTTGGTTTCAAACTTTGTACTGACCTTTGTACTCTGATCAAAGCAGCGTAAATGACTTTTAATGAATCAAGTGGATTGATTAATAATAATTCATATATTTGCATACTCGTGGCAAAAAGTACACTCATTTCAACTATGCAGTAATTATGCAATTACTGATGCGAGAAATTTTAATTGCTTACATGCTCACCTTTAGTCGTATGTGCTCCTCACCCTCCAGAAGGACGTTCATGCGTTTGTAGCAAAATGTTGAGAGTTGCCGATATTTTGTCAATGGTCCAGTTTTGAAATCCGGGAAGATGATCTTGTCCTCATATATGTTTTCCGATTGCAACTGCTCCGACTCGACCTCACTGGGACTTTGTAAAATAGAAAATAACGTTGCAACTGTATCCATAATTACGAATTGTTTTCTTTGAATTAAAAAAGACTAGACTAGACTGTGCGTGCGGCGCAAAGCTCGATTCAAGACTGGTTTAGTGGTCACTTTCGTTTGTGGAAGGAAACCATTGTGTGTTTACGAGCTGGTCAACGCTCTGTCGGCATTGAATGAATCTCTTTTTATTTGGAACGCAAATTTATAATGACTCTCACAAAATGCTTGCTTAAGAAAAGAGCGATCAAAACAAAAGCCAAAAAAACTGCACTTCGTGTGGGTTATTTTTAGTTGGAGATAGTATGAAGTTATTATTTATTTTTAGCCCTTTTAAAAGGCATATACAGTGCTGAAGTTAATTATTGCATTTTTATGTAAAATTTATATCTAGTGTCTGCATTATTATATTGTTGTGCCTAATTTATATAGGGTTTAAATCCTAAAGTTTAAGATAGTTGTTGTTTTTGCTCATTTTAATATGCCTTTAATGTAGGTCTGATAACATAGTACGGTCTCAATAAAASTATAGGCAACCAAATTACTTAAACACATACATATGTATATGTAAAATGRACATGTATGTACATATGTACGWCTAATTATGMAAAAAAGGCAATATGYGAAATTTTAAAATTATGTTCGAAAATTAATATCGTATGCTTGTTTAATAGATATAACCGGGCACTCGCGGTCGCAGTGATTTTGTCCGGCTAAAGGAGCTGTCTTTATATATGACGTGGCAATGTATTAGAGTCAGAAGCTAAAAATCAGAATCATGTTTCTATTGAACTAATAAATGCGAGCCAATCAGCCAGACGTGACTGAATGCCAATTATGCCATTAATTACCATTCAACCATCGCGAAYTAGACACCAACAAAACACCAAAAGTTAATAAGAATTTGAAAAAAACGGGAACTACAAATTTTACACAATTTTCTTCACAAATTTTATGCAATCCTATCCTTTTATCAGAGATGATTTCAACGAAATATTACCAACCTGATCTCCATGTGTGGCCATGGCAAGGTACTCATTCCCGGTTATATAATTTTTTTTTTTTCGATGAAAATAATAATAAATAAGTGATAATAATCATAAAATTTGTTTAGTTATGGGAAATAMCCGGCTATGAGGACTGTTCGTAAAGTGGAGCTTCACTGTATATTATTTTTTATTCATAACTTTATTATTTGTTTAGTTATTTTTAATTATTTTAATGACACTGGTTATTTGAATATTTTCTTAATAAACGAGCGTCGTAAATTTTAATTGCGCTTTACCTCACCACACATTATATCGCTATAAACTTTAGTTCAAAGCCATTGCACTTACTTGTTATTAGTATTTGACACCATGTTGAACTTTCTATGCTCGCACAGCAATTAACGTTTAATGACAACCGCACAATTTGAGCACTGAACGCCAACTGTGGTCTAGACCCAAAAAAATATTTTGTTAACTTATCAAGAACACAGCTCACAGTGCATAGTATCCCGCATAGAATACATGTATGTTTGTACTTTGTACCTGTTAAAGTGAATTTATTTGTAATAAATTGGAGATAATGCTTTAATAGCAGTTAAGGGCTCATGCCAGTTTTTCGGAAACTGGCGGCGAATACTTAGTAATCTACGAACTATCGAAGTATTTTTGAGCGATAAAGGCTATCGTTGAACAGCTCCACAAAAACACACCTACTAGTGTTGAAAGATTCCTCTTTTGGCACAACTTGAAGTAGCAGTAAGTTAGCCTCCAAAATGCATTTTCGCACAAACAGAAATAATGGAAAACGAATGCTATTGCGAATTAGTAATTGAGTAATCCAATAGTTAGTAATAGCTCGTTCTTATCTCCGTAATTTGCAGGCRCGGTTGCTAATAATTGCCTTTTCTTTGAGTGCGGCAGTAGGTACGAGCTTACGTGTCTAAGTCAAATAGTTTATTTACTTTTGGTATTTGATTAGATTCACTTCATGAACTCACTATTGATTGAATTTTACACGTTAACCCAGATTACCGACCTACTCATTCAATGTTTGTGTTTGTGATATTTTATTGTTTTGTTGTTTAGCAGCCACGGCAGTTGTGCGCGAAATGTCATTAACAGCTGATTGCGGTATTCACGARGAAGGCAAATAAATTATATTTTTGTTATTGTAAATAAAAATAATTGGCAAAGGTTTTCTTATTTGCATCTACAGCGAGTATTTTTACCAACAAAGATTGAAATAAGCTACTTTCGTTTTCACCAATATCAGTTCGATATTGTACTGTTCAACTGCAGTTTAGACTGTGTACGATTTTTWAAATCTCAGAATGTCCCAACCGGACACATGTATATTCCGCGAGAGTCCATAGTACTACGCTTTTTGGAAGGCTTATTTCTATTCTCGAATACAATTCAAGATCTTCAAATGTTTCAAACTCATCTTAAACTTATTGTTAGGTTAGTTTAGATGGTTGATCCCTCAACAAGGTGTTTTATAATAAAAAATTATGTACTCCAGTCCCGTATCACCAATTTTTTCTTATTGGTAGTGGGAGAACAGCTTGTTTACTTTCTGAACAGCTTTGATTTAAGWTTAACTTTAATCTCCGCGCAATTCAATGTTTGAATTGAAATATGGTATTTGAAATAACTAAAATATACCCACAAGTGGTGCACTATCATTGTTATCACAAGCACCAAACCTAAAAGTAGGCAACTTTTTTTTAAAATTTTCTTTTTATATTTTTAACCCATGAAAGCCCAAAAAATGCTTGTCATTTCAGTAAATATTATTTATTTATGCTTATACATTTAATTAACATGAAACATTTCTTACAGTAATACTTTTTTTTTTTGATATATGGTTCGTAATTATTGTTTATGTTAGTTTGAGATTGGCAAAGTTTCGTTAGCTTTCGCGTAAAATACTCAACTTTGGGAGCATATAAAACATACTACATTAATTAACTGTCTGGCATGTGTGTATATAATGAAGTCAGCATGTGTATGTGTGTGTTTGCGTATATAACTGTGTGTTTGAAAGTTTATAAGTATGTGTTTATGTTGATAAAAAAATTTTCGTTATACTCAAAAGTGTTTTCACATATTTTTTGTAACGCACTAGAATTGAGCGGTTTTTATTTTCATTCAAAATAGGATTTACAGTTTCTTTTCTATCAAATGTGTTAGTACGCTGTGGCTATATCAAAGTGCCGCCAAATATCTCATTATCAGCATTTTCAATTATATGCCGTTTTTCACTGAAATGAGGGTAGGTAACAAGTAGTCGGTAGTAATATCAGGAGTGCTTACATTTAGTTTATTTTTAAATAGAAATTTCGTTAATCGCAAATCAAAGGCAAACACTACTAATCGTCATCTTAAATGCTAGCAACTTTACAACTTTACTAATACTTTACTTTCATTGTTGTGTCATATCCGATTTTCTTCTGCAAAGCGTACACACTTCCTTGTATTACTTTGCCACACTTTCGTATATAAAAAGCTAAAAAATTTGCATTTTTTATTTATTAATTTATTTACTTACATATATAATGCTCATGCCGCCAATTTGTTGCTGGCAAAATTTACTAGCAAACTACATTTATATTTATTTGTTTGTATGTATGTATGTATGTCTACTTAAAAATTATTTTGCTAGTTTTTCTTTAATATTCATGAACATATGTATTTGATTCGCTTATTTGCTGTACATATGTAAATACATACATATATTTGTATGCGCCTTATTTGTATTTTGCTACATTTTTCTCAGCCGTCTGTGTTAATTGACACAAAATGAAAGTGTGAACTTTTAAGAAATATATGTTTATGCATTTTTATTAAGAATTAACACTATTCTTTATTTATTTTTTACAACCATTTATTTGGGAGTTCCATAAAAAGCGTTTACTAACGTCATGACACGTATGGCTTTTAGGTTATGTGCGATGATCTTAAAAAATTTAGATTTTTTGTTGATATTTGCAATATACATAATTTGTTAAATTGAAATAATGTATCACCTAAAAGCTTGAATTTATTCGAAAAAATTCTAATATATTTTTTTCGTTCGAAAAAACTAAGATTAACAATAATATTTAATTTCGTTTTTTTTTTTAATAAATAAAACAGTAAAACATTTAATTGAACGCTTTTACTTCAAAAACTC